GGCATTGCGCCGGAGGCCAAGATCACAGTGACCTAATTATTACAATGAACCTCACACCTTCAGTCGATGATCCTGGTATACTTCAAGCTCCACTAAGGCATATTTATTATTTGAAAAATACGGCCCAGACAAAATTGTATCGGAGCAGAATGACTAAGGAGGAACAGGTACTTAATCTATCCTCATTCATAGTAAACATGTCTTTTATGCTAACCATACCAGAATACATTTCAGGTACAAGGTATGGGGCAACCTCAGAACTGATAGTAAACATGTCTTTTATGCAAACCATACCAGAATATATTTCAGGTACAAGGTTTGGGGCAACCCCAGAACTGAAAGTAAACATGTCTTGTATGCAAACCATACCAGAATATATTTCAGGTACAAGGTTTGGGGCAACCTCAGAACTGATAGTCCCTCAGGACAGCAAACTGTCTTTTGAAGTAAAATAGCATATATTAAGACGATACAGAAAAACAAAAAAGTTAACCTTTATTGCACCATTTCACAGTTTCGAACATTCAGCGAAACGGATGTTCATTGAAAGACCATGATTATTATATTGTAAGAATAATATATGATGATAATTATGATGATGATGATGCTGATGCTGATGATGATGATGATGATGATGATGATGATGATAATGATGATAATTGTTGTATTGTACTTTTAAATTTTTAGTATTTTTTTGATGATTGTAAGGATATTTCGAGTGATCCACTGATAAGCTCTTCCCTAAAAGCAAATGCTTTTTATTTCATAACTTTTAATGAGTAAAAAATATAACAGAAATATAGAAATAGCCTAAATACGTTTTGCTCAAATTGTCATGAATGGCATTAAAGCTAAATAAGCACAAAATAAAAACAAAACACGTGCACATCGACCTATATTTTATTGCAATTTTGAAACAAATTCCCTTGTATTTATATAAACTTGTTATAAAGTTTTGATATTTCTTTAAATAAGGATGAGCTAAATTTATAAAGGTATACATGTTATCATGTAGACATTCGTGTCATACCATGACAAACTGTTATCTCAAGTGCTATATTGTAAAAATATAATATCAATTTTTGTGCTTTAGCATCTTTTACAGTAAAACATCATTTCAATTCCATCTTGCTTATCGCCTAGATTTGTCAGAGTCCCATTTTCTCTTTTACTTTAGGCTCCCTGACAGGCGCTCCTTAATTTATAGCCATTTTTTTTTAACGTCGAAATTTCAATGAACTTGTGTTATATATATAAATTTTCAAGCAAAGTATCGGGAAAGCCTTAGACTTCTCTTCTTTATAACTTGTACCATTATTATGCATATTTTAAAAACAAACGTGTAGTGTTTTGAAGGTATAAGGATGGGACATATTTCAGGTATTACAGTTATATTCGTTTTAAACTAGAACTGTAAGCCAAAGGCTAACTAATACCCCCGCTCCTATATAAACTAGAACTGTAAGGTAAAGGCTAACTAATACCCCCGCTCCTATATAAACCAGAACTGTAAGCCAAAGGCTAACTAATACCCCCGCTCCTATATAAACTAGAACTGTAAGCCAAAGGCTAACTAATACCCCCGCTCCTATATAAACTAGAACTGTAAACCAAAGGCTAACTAATACCCCCGCTCCTATATAAACTAGAACTGTAAACCAAAGGCTAACTAATACCCCCGCTCCTATATAAACTAGAACTGTAAACCAAAGGCTAACTAATACCCCCGCTCCTATATAAACTAGAACTGTAAACCAAAGGCTAACTAATACCCCCGCTCCTATATAAACTAGAACTGTAAACCAAAGGCTAACTAATACCCCCGCTCCTATATAAACTAGAACTGTAAACCAAAGGCTAACTAATACCCCCGCTCCTATATAAACTAGAACTGTAAACCAAAGGCTAACTAATACCCCCGCTCCTATATAAACTAGAACTGTAAACCAAAGGCTAACTAATACCCCCGCTCCTATATAAACTAGAACTGTAAGGTAAAGGCTAACTAATACCCCCGCTCCTATATAAACTAGAACTGTAAGCCAAAGGCTAACTAATACCCCCGCTCCTATATAAACCAGAACTGTAAGGTAAAGGCTAACTAATACCCCCGCGCCTATATAAACTAGAACTGTAAGGTAAAGGCTAACTAATACCCCCGCTCCTATATAAACCAGAACTGTAAGCCAAAGGCTAACTAATAACCCCGCTCCTATATAAACCAGAACTGTAAGGTAAAGGCTTATTAATGCAAAGCATTGCAAAGCAATATAGTCTTCCACCAGTAATGAATTCATTTTTGGCTGAACTATACACTCATTTAAGTATACAGGTCACTCTCATACTTCCTGTATTCCCTCTCAATGCCAAAGCATACTTACAAAGCAAATCTTGTTAGCCCATGGCCAGATAAACGAGTTTTGCTGAAATCGTCCTAGTAGTTAAGGAAGAGATGTCAGGAGAAAGACTTTTAATAAAAGACCATAACTTCTTAAAAATGGTCGAAATGAAGAAATACTACCCCGAGGCACGACATCAGGGGGTAATTACCATATCTATTAACTATCATTGAAATTGGCCCAATAGTTTAGGAGGCAAACAAAGATTTTTTTAAAAAGGGTCATAACTGAGGTTAAAAGAGTCAGAATGAAAAAGTACTACTTGGATACACAACGTCAAACGGCAGTTGCCATATCTGTAAACTTTCTTTGAAAATGGCCAGGTTGATAAGGAGAAGTTGTCAGGAAAAAGGTTTATTCAACAAAGGGCCATTACTCCGTAAAAAGGGTCAGATTGAAAAAAAAAATACCTGGATGCACAACATTAGGTGGTAGTTACAAATGTATCATATCTGAAAACTTTCATTGAAATTAGTCCAGCAATTTAAGGGAAGTTGGTACAAGTTGGCTTGTCGGTACGACAAGCGTTTTTCCAAAATAGGCAATAACTCCGTAAAAAAAGGGTCAGAACGAAAAGAATAATACCTGGATGCACAGTTTAAGGTGATAGTTATCATATCTGAACACTTTTGTTGAAATTGGCCCCATAGTTTTGGAGGGTTTGTCCGGACATTGATTTTTCAACCAAGGGCCATAACATCGCAAAAAAGGGTCAGAATGAAAAATAATACCTGGATGTACAACTTCATGTGGTAGTTATCATATCTGCAAAGTTTCGTTGGAATCTATCAACAACTTTAGAAGGAGTTGTCCGGACAAAACAAAATCAGGATTTTTTAACAAAAGGCCATAACTTCGTTAAAAAAAGGGTCAGAACGAAAAAATAATACCTGGATGCACAATTCAGGTGGTACAGTAGTTATCATATCTGCAAAGTTTTTTTGAAATCGATCCATAACTTCAGAAGAAGTAGTCCGGACAAAAAGTTTCAGGATTTTTTCAACAAAGGACCTTAACTTCGTAAAAAAGGGTCAAAATAAAAAATAAATAAAACTGGATGCACAACTTCTGGAAAGTTTAATAATGAATGTATAAGTTCAGTGAATATTCAATCCAGTCATAATCCGTTTATTTGATATTACCATCCTGTCGCATTTGGTCCCAGCATTCTGTTTAACTAAAACTATTTCTGAATTATAGAAAATCCTTACTTTTAGTGGTGGATGTGTTAACTAAATGCGACGTCATGCACAGTATTAAAATTAAATTGACCTATTCAGATTATATTATGTTTGCATACAAATCGACACAATCGCATAAAACTAGTTTATCTACAAATTGTTGACAATATTTAGATATTTTACATGTATAAATTCTACGACACAAATAGATTTCGTGTCATGGCCGGCAAAATGGATACAACTAAATACTGTCTTGTCATGGTAAATAACAGCTAATGGGGTTTTTGTTCTTTTTTCTTGTATTTCGAGTTTAGTGTTTGTGAGAGAGTATCAAATATATGACAAAATATATATATATATATATATTTTTAATTGAACTGCCATGAGAAAATTATTAATGTTGCTAAATGTCTCACTAAAGATGAGCAATGAATTCAATAAGTTGAGAACAGAATTCATCACATGTAGGTTTGAAGGATAAGGATCTTTTACACCAAATGATCCCAAATGATGTTGTATTCTTCTACCCCAAGCTCTCACCAGAAAGTTTGGGGAAAAAAACATGACATCGACAATGCAAATGAGTCACTATATATATGTTAATCTATACCATATTTGGAATGAGCGGATAAGTAAGGTAAAAGATAACATCTTTCATGGCAAGCTTGTGCAATAATCATTACATGTATGTTCATGAGCTTAAGTCATCTGTCGAGGTCAAAATCGCCAGTCAGTCAAACGACGTTTACACGTACTTCCAATTGTGACGACATAAAGAAATGCCGTTACCTGATTGTGACGTCATAATATCAAAGGGGTACACGTGTATCTTACTAAGGTAGAGATAGGAGAAATTTAAAATCAAATGGGAACGCATTAAACACATTTTCCGCTTGAAAGTACACTATATCAAGAAGTACTCAGTTCCTAAACACAGCGTCATGATCATTTTATAAATTTTATAAGTACACTATATCAAGAAGTACTCAGTTCCTAAACACAGCGTCATGATCATTTTATAAATTTTACACATCAATTTGATGAATCTATGGGGGAAAAATACGACAATTTCTATGTTGAGGTTTGTTATGCATATTTCTCCGCATAATGCATAAAAGAAATCTTTAATTAATAAGGGTGTCCATGTATTGTTTTAGTATTTTTTCCATGTTTTTATATACTTTAAGTTTTATTTATGGATTATTCAAACTAAGCTGTACTCTTGTAATTTTAATAATCATGACATATTCTGTGGTAAGCAGATGTTATTTTCAAATGCACAGAAATAAACTTTATACTACAAATGGACTTTGACAGTTATACAAATATTATTAAATCATATTGTGATAATGTATAAAAAAAGTGCAAATACATATTTATTTTTACTTTTTTATATGAATCATTTACAGTAAAACCTCGTTATAATGCCACCAATTGTCCAGAGAAATTTTGGCGTTATAAGGGGGTTTAGTATTAAATTGAAATTCTGAAGAAAACAATTGAACATTGAAATATGTTGGCGGTAAACGATGAAGTAAATGAAACGAAGGGCATTATATCGAGGTTTAACTGTATTACAAAATGATTACTAACAGTAACTTTACGACATGTATTAATCACTTGTTTTCGACGTCGGCATCAATTTCAACTATACCTATGTACAGTAGTATGAATCGCACATAATTATTTACAGCTACAATGTATATAAATCTACTTCTAGTCTTGAAAGGATCATAATTTTACATCACGAAAATACTCTCCATTCTGAGGCTGACTTCTAGTTGTCAATGTTTTTCACCAAACATATTTCTCAAACGTCAAATGTTGGCATACACACTTCCGTTATCCAAATGGTCTTTCATCACCTTGTAGCAGAACTCATACTGCGCCTAAAACATAAAATGTGTTCAAATGTTTAATTTTGCTAATGGATTTGACAGAATAGGAAATCATTTTGTATGCAATTTTTATTATATCGTAAAGTTATGATATTTTCAAATATAGCGAGTTTAAAAATTGATGTAACAGAGGTCATTATTATTTAAATGCCTCCGGTAAGAATCCAACCCAGGACCTCTAACTTACTAGTCTTACACTCTACCGAATGAGCTAACGAGAAATTTTCCCTAACCGAGTCGGTAGGAAGCGGCTAATATTTGTCCAGGGTGACATGCATACTCCCGCCTCCAGGAAAGAACATGTCAATAGTTTTCCATGGGTCATACCGATACCTTTGCAAGTATCGCCGGTTATTTTTGTCTTATCTACCGGGTCCCTACGTGGGCGCCAATGTAACAGAGACCACTATTTTTTCAATACCTCCGACAGGAGTTGAATCCGAGACCTCTGGTTTACTAGTCTTACGCTCTATCAAATGAGCTTTAGGGAAATTCTCCATAGCCGAGTCGGTAGGAAGCGGCTCTCATTTTACCAGGGTGACAGTGTTATTTAGTTTGTATTATAAAACACCGTCACATGTTTTGTTCTTTTTCCTCTCTGTCAATAACATGAGTGAAGTAAAATAACTGACAATACAGTATGACGACTAAAAGATGGAACATGATTTATATCAAAAATATATTTCATTGTTATTTATCAGGTTAAAAGGTGATTACAAATCTCGGTAATGTACACTGTATATCATACTGAAAGGATAAAGAAACACAGGGTAACAAAATATGCAACAATTATTTAACTGCTTAACCTAAAATTATGAAATACCTGTCAGACGAGTATCTTGATCTTTGTGTATTCAAACCGGTGTGTAAAGTTACTCAGCTGTGTAATGTACCGTGCCACTTGTGAAAGTGTTAAAAGACAAAAACTCACGTCCTGAATAACGATGACAAGTTCGTTTACACATCGTGTCAAACCACGTGATAAACTTATATAAATATATTGTATATAACATTCAAATAATCCTCAAATGTTTATCCTGCGTATCTATATTCTCTCAGTATATATAAACACAATCACCATATTTTGCAGACACTGCGGTCTTCGGATTTGAAGCTGTCTTGCTGCCGCCATGATGTCTACTTCACCATCAACCTCCAGGCGTTCCATCACGTTACATAAGACACACAAAAGTCCGCTCTCAGATGACCCATTACTGAAAAATAAAAAATCGACAAAAGTTTGATTCAACAAACAAACAAAAAGTCATTTAGTGCTTTCACAAAAGACGTGCACGCGTTTTACATCACCTTCAGTAACAGGATCGAGAAAAGGGAAATTACTCTAATCTAATCCGAATATTCTTTATATTATTGTTGTACGGACATGATACAAAGGTGTCTGTATATAGAGAAATAATCTTTAAATAGAGCAGACTAACATCATTATTAGGAATTAACATTGATACATAGATTTATTGATTTTTTATTCCATAATTATATCTCCATGTTTACATAAAAAAAAACAAATGGGAGCAATATAAAAATACGTTTATTGACATTGCATGACTAATTTTGCGGAATAGGAATATTTGTACCGAATAAAACATAAATACATGTAACAGCACGAGCCGTATAACACATAAATGCATGTTGTGTCACGAGCAATGTAAAACATAAACGCATGTGGTAGCACAAGCCATATAAAACATAAACGCATGTTGTGTCACGAGCCATACATAACATAAATGCATGTTGTAGTACAAGCAATATGAATATAATTAAATGTTGCAGCCCAAACCATATATAACATAAATACATGTTGAAGCACGAGGCATATAAAACATCAATACATGTATAATATACATGTAAATTGGCAGCACGAGCAGACAAGTTACTGCGGACGACGGAAATCCAGACATCCAGACATCCAAACAGGGTGATTCCAGTATACTTCGTTGCTGGTATAATAATTTGCTTATCCTAAAAACATGCATACATTCCATTTATTCCATATCATTTTCCCCTACACACCAGATTTATGGTCATTTTTGCTGATGTTATTATTTACACTAGCACTTATGATATGTTTTGTACTTACCAGCAGGTTATAACGACTGGTGATGTTATTGTTTACACCAGCACTTATGATATGTTTTTGTACTTACGAGCAGGTTATGACGACTGGTGATGTTACACTGCCTTTTGAGGTTAACACTTGTTGAATCAATTCCAACATCGATTTTGTCGAGGGAAGTGACTCGTTCCAAGAATGGTTACAACAGTTCTAGTCGTTGCTTTCTATAAAAATGGTGTTTACAATATAACATTAAATGTAGTTAGACCTCAAACACAATTAGCACAATATATACATGTAACCTTTTACTTTCGACTTCTTCATGCACCTGACCCAGTAATCAGTCTTGAAATATGTAGATATGGGTTCGGTGAGAATTTTGTCACATAAGAAATTCATCAGGGTTATGGTGATATACACTGACATATTTAGGCATCAACGCTTATATCTATATATGACCCTCGTACAAGTACACATACGGTACACACAAATTTAATTAAGTTATTTTCACAGTAACATTTTGATATCTACAAACCATATAGTTAATACTACCAAAATTATTGAAACAAGAATTAATAGTTTGTATTTTTATGTTCAAATCAATGGAATTAACATTTGTTTACACATGATATCGATTTTTTTTGTATGATATTGTGGTAAAATAATAATTGTTACTGTCAAGTTAACATCACTGGAACGATATTTCCAGTCATGTAGTATTACCTTGTTCTGAATTGAAAGCTTCCGTTTGATCACAACATCTGACTTCAATGTTTGGGGCTGAGTTTCGTCATACATAACGGTGTAGTCGCCAAACGTGTCAACGTGTCCTTCTTGTGTGGGCCATCTCGCGTCACCCTTAAAATATGACAAATACCTAACTCCTAAGCTTAGGATACAATTGTACTATTTATTGATCTATGATTCTATGATGAAATTAAGAAACCACTATCATTAGAATCATGCAATAATTCATAGAATCGTTTTCTTTTGTTGAATATCCGTGATGGCATAGTCATAAATTTAATGAATATATAGCCGTCAAGGTTGCATAATAAATTATGATTGTGATCATAACAGCGCTATGGTGTTGAGTAAATGTAACAGTAAAAAATAAGTATGAGATATTACAAATACTGTACGCTCATTAAGATACAAAGCCACGCCAAGAGTGCATATGATGTTAATCTGTATATCTGTGTTATTGTGGTAAGCTACTAAACATTTACATATCCTGTTACTAACTTTGAAATATAACAAATACTGTTTACTTATTAAGATACAAACCTTCCTACCTGGTAAAATAATAGTAAGTCATCCCGATCGATATTTAATATAAATTAATAAACAATAATACAATATTTTTCTTTCATAGTAAAACCGGTATGACGCGTCCCCTGCGCATTCTGACATCCTGTTATATTCCAGATACAATTGTAATACATTTCATTTAACGACCACTTTAATTCAGTTTTCTTTAACTCATTCACCCCTGAAATTTCATAATGAACTATTCCAACCTGTGAATTGGAAGAGTTCAAATGTGTCTTCAGAGGTGAATGAGTTAAAATTGGTGATTCTGACATCCTGTTTAACAAAAATAAATAGCTTTTGCTACTTCAAATCAAAGTGCCGAGGGCACTCGGGGATGCTGTGTATGAAGGATTCAAATAATGGAATAAAGGAGGTGGTATATCAGTACAGAATGGCAGTAAATAAGTACATCTTGTTGAGTAAGGGTCATAATAGCCCATCCCTTAATCATAATTTTCAATAAAAATATATAACAAGCAGAGTATTGCTAAAACAATTGAAACCTGCCTGATATTATGGTCCTTAAGTAGTGTTTCAATTCGATGGAAATCCTTCAAGGAATGAAGCTGCTACAGCGCAGACAATGATTTTTTTAAAAATAGTAACAGTGACCTTGACCAGACAACCCTGCAAACTAAAATTGTCCCGTAAGATTTTGGGAAAGTTTTTGATTAAATGAAAAAAAAAAGTTATATAGATAATATTAATAAATAATAATGATATCATTATTACAATTTGTTGTTATCGTGATTAATTATACAAAAAATTAAAACGAGATTGTATTATTTCCAGTGCGTGTAATCACGGACTTATACAAGTCCCTTATTGTGTATCTCTCGTTCTCTCGATATTGTAACGAAGGTTAAAGACCTATATAATTATTCAATTTCTGGTTAATGTGTATAATATGTATATACGGTTTTAATTTTTGATGTCCAATATGCTATATTCACGAAGCACTTGTATTATACTAATCGGGCCATTATCTAGAGACTGTATTGGGAAGCTATCTACAAACTCGTTACTTAGGCGCAGCTGCTGACGCATTGGGAAGCTATCTATAAACTCGCTGAGGGCTACTTTAGTATAAGTCAACATTCTCTTTCACTTGGAGACTTTCCATTGAGACAAAGAAAACACGAAGCCTACTTTATCAAGGACAGTTATCAAACAGTCGTTCAACAAGTCGCGAGCATGAAACTACGCAATGATGGACAAGGGGAGAAAACTCTTACACACACACTTCTTTAGAGTATTGGAATAGGAGGCGAATTATTTTGAACCAAATATAGTTCGGAACTTTCACTGATTAAAACCGCCACTGTTAAAGATCTTTACATATTTTCTTTGATTTTTTGTGTCTTATACAGATATATTTTACCATATTATAGCATTGATCATATCAAGACATAATGAACACATTATCTAAAGATCTTTCGCGGAAGGAGGTAAAGTGTTGTTTGATTTTTTTGTGACGAAATTATGCGGTCCAAAAAGCGTAGTAATCTGAGATTGATATAGTTCATGATGCTCACTGAAAAAAATCGCCTTTTCGTAAAATTTTAACATTTTTTCTTTGATTTATTGATCGTTTTCATATGTATTTCATCATTTTATAGCATTAACCATACCATGAAATAATCAACACAGCATTTAAAGATCTTCCGCGGAAGAAGAAAGTCTGTTGTTTGGATTTGATTTGCCCAGGCTTGGCGAGGAACGCTATGAATGCTGTACACATCATCCAAAAAGGCTAATTTACAATATTGCTTTCTGCCGAGTAGAAATGGTGTATTCTCACACCCTGTTAAACCAAAACAAATCGTTTTTGCTACTACAAAAAGGACAAGTTAACAATATTGCTCTTCTGATTCACCGGTCATGGTATAATTATAATTCTACCACGTCTGTGATGTAACGACGGTTTTCATTGGTTAAAAAGAGTGCATTATTGAGCGATAAACCATGCGCGTGCCAATAACCAATGCACGTGAAATAGTACGCACGCATGCTGTTCCAACAACCTCCCCGTAATTTATCATGAATTAACAAAAATAGCATAACTGTCAGGCGGGATCAAAATATTTGACAGGCTTGCCATTCAAAAGATAACACGGATCTATAGACCTAAAGTATGTGGGTCCGTGCAGTGAAAATGGTTTATTAATTATCGACATTTAAATGTACAGGTCTGAAGACAAAATGGTAAATTATTAATTACTTCTGTTTTTACTTCACTTGGTAGTGCCGTACATTTCACGATGTGTGCAGTGTGTGTATGTACTGTCAAGCGTTGATTTCATGTTTTGACGAACGATGTCGATAGCGTGCCAATGTTTGATTGATTGAAATAAACATCGTATCTGACTTCACACGTGTTCAGTTGTTTCAGGTCTGCAAAACGTCGTCTGCTTTCAAAAAATCAACATTGCTTCAAGTTCAAGTTCCTTGGTATTACGACCGAACATCGGAGACAGGTTGTTTTATTGTGGGGAGCTGTGTCGGGTTGTGGACTTTCACCAACCAAATCCTCAATTTGCCAAACAATTTGTGGTGAGGTCTATATACAGTGGCGAAACCAGGCGGGTTTTTCTTCACCAACTTCACCAAAGGTTGTTTATTGTGGGGAGCTGTTTCGGGTTGTGGACTTTCACCAACCAAATCCTCAATTTGCCAAACAATTTGTGGTGAGGTCTATATACAGTGGCGAAACCAGGCGGGCTTTTCTTCACCAACTTTTGGACGATATACCAGAGGACAACATACGTCCCTGGGATAGTCAGGAGGATGACGCAGCCATTGCCTCCATCAGTGAATTCGAACATGTTAGCCCTGTAAGCCCCCCAGTTACTGCTATGTGCGCGACAGGTAATGTGACTCGGACACACGCCCCAGAGACCAGCGCCACCACCACCGTTAGCTCCGGACCCAGGTTCGCCACGGTTACCGAAGACTCATTGGCAGCACTCGAAAATAGTAAACATGAGGGGAACACGATAAAACAGACCACCTGGGGAGTGAAACTAATAAAAGGTTAATAATAATAAAACTTATAAAACTTAACTTTGTTTTAACAAATATGTTTTATTTAAACTTGTCGTTCATATTACACCACCGTAACTTACATGTACATATTATTTCATGCAGTGACAATTTACAAAACACCGACTACAGTGCATTCCTCTTATTGCATATAGCCAAAGAAAAACACAATTAATAGGAATAAATATTACTATCTTTATACTGCAGGTATATTCTTACAAATAAATAAGGGGTCTGTCTTTTCCCTGCTAAAAGGAGCCGATTGCCCGGCCCAATAATATGACCTAACATTCCCAATTAAAAAAAAAAATCGTGATTAATGGAACCATGTTGTTAACAATATTTTCATATTTTGAACTAGATAAAAAAATTCTCACTTTCCCTTTTACTTCATACAATTTTTTTTTATTTCGTGTATCAAGAAAAAAAGTGATAGGAACATTTCTGTTGCTCAACACGAAAGTCGTTAAATTAAGTATCTCGGTTTCCGATAATATTACGCGAAAAATATGGTCATGGTTTCCCATTGAATACCATAAATTTATATTCCACAAGTGTGGCCGAATATGTTCACGAGTGCGTTAGCACGAGTGAAAATATCTAAGTATTCTACTGCACGAATGAAATGTACAAATGTAAAGTCACTAACAGCTAGGGGGG